GATGGAGTCAAACGGCTGAACTTTTTGTTAGCAGTTGAATGTTTTTACCACTGAACCACCAGAGCTCCTTTGTTCTCATATAGATAACTCTCAAAAGAACATAATGCTCAGGTCAGAACTTTTTTCACTAGTTAATCTCCTGTTTGGTTTGAAGAAGACCAACAGTGGATATTTTTGGTGTAAAGTTTATAGATTATTTCAGGGCAACAGTTTCAGGGGTTCATCTATGGCTCCAGAAAGTTTAGAAGCCATAAGAATTTGAAAATCTATTCTGTATCCACCTCCCCCCTGCACCCTTTTTCCATTTTGATCAGGATTCCTCTATGGAATCTTTATTCAAAATGTTTAGTAATGGTAGCCAGGCACCATCTTGTTCTGATCTCATGGCAAAGGAGACAGTTGTTCATGGAGGCAATTAGCCACACATCCCCTATCTTCCTCCTATTCCTGACTCTATTCTTCTGTTGGTCCAGGTGAATAGAGACCAATTGTTGTGCCTTCAAAGGCTACTTGAAAGCTGCTAAGACACTGGGCACTATGCAATGAACTAGGACGTAGAACAGAAGCACTAAACACGTTATTGGGCCAGTTAACTGGGGTGTCCCAAGAAACCATGACTCTAAACCTCCAAAGTGAAGAACCAAATCCCATGAAATATTTGATTGTACTAAGCAGCTCATCAGCTATTTTTTTTTCCAATAATTGTTTTAAATATGTCTATCTTAGTTACCTTATGCTGCTATAACAGACATACCACAAATTGATGGCTTTAACAAACAGAAATTTTTCTCTCACAGCTTAGGAGGCCATGAATAAAATTCAGGGTGCCATATCTAGGGAAGGGCTCTCTCTCTCTGTCTGCTGTGGTGGAAAGTCCTTGTCTCCTTTCAATGTCTGTGGGCCTGGTGTGCCTTGGAGATCTCCATGTGTCTTGGCATCAGTCTTCCCCTGGGCCTAGGAACTTCTCAGTGCCAGCACCCTGGGTCCCAAAGTCATGTTCTGCGCCCGGATCTTCCTTTTGGGCAGTACTGAGGTCTCTCCATCTCTGCTCCTTTGTTTGATTTTTTTTTTTTTTTTTTTTTTTTTTTTTTTTTTAATATCTCAAAAGAGATTCACTCAAGGTGCCTCTTAATCTGTAGAGTGTATCCTGCCTCATTAACATAACTGCCTCTAATCTGTAAGAAAATCAACTCGTGTTTGTTCAAGCCATCCCACTTGTGGTATTGTCAGAGCAGCATGAGGTAACCAAAACAGTGTACAAGTCTCTTACTGAGTATGATATACATTTTAACAATAAAATATTAGATTTTCAACAGAATTCTGATAGATACTACCCTTGAGAATTTTAGATGCTTTGGACAAAAGTTGTTCAAATTTATGGTCTACATTTATCAAATTGTCTCCTCTTTACACCTTCCAACAAATTTCTACATAAAAACAAATAATGTCTATTTTAATTTCAAGCAGTTTGGCTACTTTCTTAACGTAAAGGCAAAAAAACTGATGTATTTTTGGGGAGGGGAAAGGAAAGAATGTGGAAATAAATTGAACATAGTTTTATGTTCAGTTATAAACAGTTATAAACAAAAAGTTAAATAAACCAAATTTACGGAAAAAGGAAGACACCATCTCCCTTTTAGCACAGCTTGTATCCTACCTGATGTAAAATTGAAAAGAATCACAGCTTCTGAATTAAAATGCACTAGATTTGAATCTGAGCTTCTCTATGTGCCAACTGTGTGACCTTGCCCAAAGTCATTACCTCAGAGAATTAAGTGAGATAATGTATGGGTTTTATTTACAGTATGAATTTAATATGTATCCATTTCCTTCCACTTTTATAAGTCACATTTTTGGAATGAGGAATAATATTTAATCAATGTATAACTCGTTACATTCTTCACTTTTGTTGCCACTGGATTCTAAGCCCTGGATTCTGTCTCCATTAAAGTAGCCAGTTCTAGGAACCCCCTTACCTGGAGTGTGGCTACTGTTTCGCTTTTGTCTGGAGACATCCAGGAGGACAGAAGAGGGAGTAGCTTTTTTCTTCTTGCCTGTTTTTGTTGATGCCATTAGATTCTGTCAAATCAGATCCTACTCATGGAGACACTATGTACAACAGTACAAACCATTGCCTGGCCCTGTGCCATGATCAAAATCATTGCTCTGTTTGAGCACACTGTTGCAGCCACTGTGTCAATCCATCATTTTGAAAATCTTTCTTTTTCATTGACCCTCTACTTTAGCAAGCATGATGTCTTTCTCTAGGGACTGGTCTCTCGTGAAGAAATGTCCCAAGTACATGAGACAAAGTCTCACCATCCTCACTTCAAAGGTGTATTCTGGCTGCACTTCTTCTAAAACAGATTTGTCCATTCTTCTGGCAGTCCGTGATATATTCAATATTCTTCACCATCACCATAACTCAAAGGCACCAATTCCTCTTTGGTCTTCCATATTCATTTTCCAGCTTTTACATGCCTATGAGGCAATTGAAAATACCATGGCTTGGGTCGGTTGCATCTTAATCCTCAAAGTAGGATCTTTGCTTTTTAACACTTTAAATAGGTCTTTTGTGGAAGATTTTCCCAATACAGTACATTGTTTGGTTTCTTGACTGCTGTTTTCATCTGTGTTGATTGTGAATCCAAGTAAAATAAAATCCTTGACAACTTCCACCTTTGCTCCATTTATCATAATTTTGCTTATTGGCCTAGTTGTGAGGATATTTGTTTTCTTTATGTTGAGGTGCAGTCCATGCTGAAGACTTTAGTCTCTGATCTTCATCAGTAAGTGCTGCTAGTCTTCTTCACTTTCAGCATGCAAGGTTGTGTCATCTGCATGTTGCAGATTATTAATGATTCTTCCTCCAATCCTGATGCTGTATTCTTCTTCATATCGTCTAGCTTCTTGAATTATTTGCTCAGCAGACAGATTGAGTAAGTACAATAACATGGTGAAAGTATACAACCCTGGCACACAACTTTCCTAATTTTAAACCAGACACAATATCCTTCTTCTGTTCAAAAGACTACCTTTTGGTCTGTGTATAGGTTCCACATGAGCACAATTAAATGTTCTGGAATCCCTGTTATTGCATTGTTATCCATAATTTGTCATGATCCACACAGTCAAATGCCTTTGCATAATCAATAAGATACAGGTAAACATCTTTCTGGTATTTTCTGCTTTCAGCCAAGATCCATCTGACACCAGCAATGATATCCCTTGTTCTACATCCTCTTCTGAATTTGGTTTGCATGCCTAATTCATGGCAGTTTCCTGTAAATGTACTGCTGTACCTTTTTGTGACTTATCTTCAGCAAAATTTTACTTGTGTGTGCTGTTAATGACATTGTTAGATAATTTCCACATTCTGTTGGAGCACCTTCTTTTGGAATGGACGCAGATATGGATCTCTTTTGGTTATTTGGTCTGGTAGCAGTCTTCCAAATTTCTTGGCATAGACAAGTGAGTGTTTCCAGCACTATTTCCATTTGTTCAACCATCTCAATTGGTATTCTTTCAGTTCCTAGAGCTGAGCCTTGTTGTTGTTGTTGTTATGTGCCGTCAAGTCAGACCCGACTCATAATGACCCCTCCTTGGGTTTCCGAGGCAGTATCACTACGGAAGTAGATTGCCCAACTTTCCTTCCAAGGAGTGGCTGGTGGGTTTGAACCGCTAGCCTTCTGGTTAGCAGTCAAGTGTATCCTGGGCTGAGCCTAGAAAGTGCATAATTCTTGGCAGAAAGCAAAAATATAGCATTAAAAAGGATACAATAAGGAACTATATTATAATAATTACATTCTTGGTTTCTGCAGTATTGTTTTAAACTGAAAGACTCAGTGCTTACTCTTTTTTTTTTTTTTTTCCAGGTGTCTAAATGTTGTGAAGAAGTAAGAGACTATATTGAAGAAAGATCTGGTGAAGATCCCTTAGTAAAGGGCATTCCAGAGGACAAAAATCCCTTCAAGGAACTCAAAGGAGGTTGTGTAATTTCATGAAAAATTATTGAATTATCTTGAGTTTTAATGACAATGCTAATTTGTTCTTATATGTAATAACACTTTTAAGCATGTACATGAATTTTTAAATTTAAATATGTAAACTTCGAATAAAAACTAAGATGTGATCATGCATACCTCTTTGTTTTTCTTAAAGTATTTAGCACACAGTCTAATACATAATTGACAATTTAATATTGATTTACCCCTTTTTTTAAAAGAAAAATTAGTGTGTATACTTTATGAGCAAGTCTATTTTATCCTGAGTTGCCAGCTTATATATAGTTCATGTTTTATGTTTCTTTATTATCTTCAACACTCACAATATTCCACCCAGAAAAGTCATGGTTAGACTTCTGTTTTTCCTGAACTTTCTCTTGTTTACAAAATTAGTCTGTTCTTTTGGTAAATAGATGAACTATTTTGGCAGATTATGTGCTATGACGATTTTTGTTGCTATTTCATTCTTGTTTCCGTTTCTCTTTCACTTCCCAGTCACTGGTAATGGTTTTAACATAATCTCTTCCTACATTCTTACCCAATTCTACTTGTGACTCATGACGTGGCTTTTTCCCAGAAGATAAACTGGATTAAGGGTTCAGTCTGTGGTCACAGAGCACAGTGAATTTAACCGATGCTAGAGCAAATGTTATGAACACAGATTTAAACTCAGAGTTCTGGTTTTGCCTAGCTGACTTCAGACAGGCTACTTAATCATTCTAAATCTCACTTTCTTCTACTATAGGAAAAGGATAATAATTGTGTTATCCCTTCACTTTCTATGGGCTTTAAATATGAGACTAGCATAAATATAGCACTTAGCACATAATAAGAGACCAATAAATGTTAACTATTATTATTATTACTAGGAGCTCTGGTAGCATAATGCCTAAGGCACTTGACTGCTAACCAGAAGGCTGGTGGTTCAAACCCACTAGCCACTCCTCAGAAGAAAGGTTGGGCAATCTACTTCTGTAGTGATATCACCTTGGAAACCCAAGGAGGGGTCGCTATGAGTCGGGTCCGACTCAGTGGCACATAACAACAATTATTCTTACTGGAAAAGGAACTGGACAAAAATTTCAGAATCCTTTAAATACATGCTTTTCTATCTATCCCCATGGAGACTTGAATAAGCACAGTCCTTTTTCTGTAGCAATGTAAGGGCAAGAGTATAGAGAAATAGCTATCATCTACATCATCCTTTGTGACCTGGGTTCCCTCTCCTCACCTGGCTTCCTGTGGTTGAACCCTTTACCTTTTCTGTCCTCTCCCTGCCTTCCCGCCTCACTCTTTGTGGGGCATGGCCTGTGTTCCCTCTCTTCACCTGGGTCCCTGCAGCTGACTCCCCCATCTGTTCTAGTTCCCTTTGCCTTTTTTTGTCCTCTCCCTGCTTCCCATCTCATTGCCTGTTCTTAGGTCCCTGGAATCCAAATGAGAATGTTATCACTTTAAAATCCAAAATGGTTGCCACTTGTAAACATTCAAAATGGCTGCGCCCTTGGTCACTTTAAATATCCAAAATGGCCACTGCTTGTAAGCATTCAAAATGGCTGTGCCCTTGGTCACTTTAAATATCCAAAATGGCTGCCACTTGTAAATATTCAAAATGACTGCACCCTTGGTCACTTTAAATATCCAAAATGGCCACTGCTTGTAAGCATTCAAAATGGCTGTGCCCTCTGTCACTTTAAATATCCAAATGGCTGCCACGTGTAAACAATCGAACTGGCTGTGCCCCTCCAGACAAACAAGAAGGTCAGCAAAAAACCAAGAAAACCTGCAATAGCTGGGGTAGGGAAATAAGAGAAAAAAGGCAGAGAAGGAGAATAATGAAGAAAAAAATAGTAAAA